GCCGTTATTTCATGCGTCTGTCCTTTCAACGGATTTATAAACTCAAGAGGATATGGATTAAGTTGCAAAAAGTACTTTGTGTTGTTATTTGTTTCAATTATTTTGTTCAGGTTTGAGCAGAATTGCTTGAGTAAATGATATACTGCAGTTTATTTGTTGATAGGTTTTCTGCTCTGAAGCTTGTAACTAGTTTAATTTATGTCGATTTATCAGGGATGATGAATTTGGGTTGAATACACAATTTTGGGTTAGGTTAGTTTGGTGCTAGGTTGCATATCCCATGATTCAATGTCTTATAAATCGATTTCAATGTTTTTTATTGTATCTTCGGTGGTATATAAGCCATTCTAACTATCCTATTATTTCCTTTTTTCCTTCTTCGTGGTTACTAGTGACCAAAGTATCCTTTTCTTACACTTCGACCTAAAAGAATTGACCCTTTTTTATTTCTAAAATGTGTATATACGTGCAACTTTTAATTCTTTTTTTAATTATTTCTTTTACACAGAGATGGTATAGATCTCAGCTTAGAATGTTGATAGTTTGGGACTTAGGGGTTATGCCAGGTCAAAACTCTCAACACGACACGCAAGGATGGCACAATTACACAGAAGACAAACACTTTGAGCCCTGAAGATGATCTCAACAAAAGATCGAAATGATGGCACGACAAAGAAAATGTTTTTCTGAAACCTACATCACACCCGACCGCATCTCACGATATCTGAATAACTATCGATAAACGGTCATTAATCTCTACACATTAGTTTTAGGGTTTTATTCTTCCTGATATTTAATTTCATTTGGAAGGCTCTATCAAAATTTCATTTATTTTTATCTTTTTTTTAGTTTTATGATGGCTTACTCTTAGGTCTGGTTATATTATATTCCAGAAAGAAAAAACTGTGACGTCATATCAAATGGCTCATCAGATCGACAACCTAGAGGTAAGAGCGAGGTTGGTGGGCTGTGGATTTTAAATTGGCCCAGAACCATCCTTTCTTATCTACGTGTAATATTATGTTTTAATGGTTTTTTTAGGTTAGGTTTGGGTTAAGGACGGTGTTAACTGCACAGATTAAGGTGACCACGGCTGAGTGGTTATGGCGTCCGATTCGTACGGCCACGCTAGCGGTTTTGGGTTCGAATCCGCCATAGCTTATGACTTTTCAATTTAAACTAGTTAGAAAAATGTATTGTAAAGTTGTTTGATCCCTCATCCATGACAAGTAGTTGGATGTTAAACTTTTCTGTACGAAAGTAATTACTTTACTTTTTTACTTTTTACTTTACTACGCAATCATGTTTAAAGTGAGTCGAGTTTGTTGATGAGAGCTTCGTTTTTAACACTTGTGTTATAGAACCATAACATACGAAATTTTCAAAGCGGATCAGATCTTTAATTCCAAGATAAAAGCCATTACATATTTAAAAGAGGCAAAATATGTACATAATTTACATGTACATTAATAACTTCTCAGCGGCATATATTTAGCATATATAGTTAACAGGAACACCTGTTGTTATATGGAGAATGTCACATATTAAAATATCATTTGCTTGAAGGAAACCACATGCTTTCACTTGTTGATGGTTCAACGTAAATAACCATTGTTAAACAACCTTTCCTCATAGAAGATTTTAATGGTTCACGATATTCTCAAAATTAGATTGTTTTTTTAGACCATTTGGTAAAAGTGTGTTTTAGTGAGGTGGCCCAGGTAGAGTACTGCTTGCGCGTCAGTTGGATACTTTGACCCGCTCCTACGCAATAAAACTCTTGAGAAGTCGACCCTTTAATAAACAAGTGCAATATATGAAATTCTGGAGGGGAGAGTCAAGCAATCTCTTCTGTCCTCAGAAAGTCATGTTCTCGGAAGTCAGACGTCCCTCGGACTCAGGTGAGGACAGACGTTCAAAAAGGACCGTGTAAGTAAAATCTTTTTTTTTTTTATCAATTGCTCCTAACAGCACAATAAATAATATATTTTATTTCATCACACCCTCATGTCAATACTGATTTGAAAAGCGACTCGATAATTTAAATTTACACAAGACTCAAGAACCTATTTCTGAAATGCTACTTTATCAGGTGTTTGGGGGCGTCGGCGAGCGTAACGGTTACTGCATTCGGACCCTTAGCTCCTTTCTTTAATCCTTTAGTTAATGCGGCAAAATCTTTGATAAATTTACTTTAATAAACAAGTAATCCGAGAAATGATTTTATTTGCTTTCCTGTTTTAGGAATTGGATAATTTTGAATTGTTGCAATTTTTTCATGATTTGGTTCTACTTCGTAGGGGGTCACAATATGGCCTAAATAGCCTCGTATTTTTCTCAAAAATTCCATTTTATCCAATTGAACTTTAAAATTAGATTATTTTAGCCTCTTAAATACTAATTCTAAACTAGTTACATGTTCTTGCAAACTAACACTGTACATATAATATCATCTAAATATACCGCACATCATTTTGGATCCCTCGCAATATATTGTCCATCACTCTCTGAAAGGTAGGCGGTCATTTTTTTTATTAAGTTTATTTAAGTTTGTTTTATTAATTTTCAAGTAGTCTAAAATCATTCAAAATTTTGTTTGCCTGAAACATCTAAATTTTGTGGTACACCAAAATAGGGAGAATTCCACGTGAGTGGGGAGATCTAATAATTTTCTGGTCTAGTATTTGTTTAATTTGTCTTTTGACTTCATTACGGTAGATGGTTGGGTATATATATGACCTTGTGAGGATAGGGAGTTCGTCATGTGTGCGGATAAAATGTTTTACGTTATTAGAGAATGTTAGTGGTTAATTATCAAGACGAAAACTATCTTTGTATATTATTTCTTTACTAAACGGAGTAGTGCATCTTTTTCTTCAGCGTTCATGTGGCCAGTACGAATTTTAAATAGGTCAAATTTTAAATTTTCTGTTTCCATCGCATTCAATTGGATGGGGTTATCCACCTTAACATTGTATTGCATATAATTTTCATCAGTTTCTTCTAAATGTAATGGTTGTCTATTAATATATAATGGTTTATTAGTGGGGTTTAAAATTGTGCAAATTGCTTTATGATTTTGTATTGCTACTAGGCTGACGGGTATTTCTGCTCCTAGTACTTTTGTATACGGAACTATTCCTGTCCCGTTTTTAATATTTTTTATATTTGATACTACGAATTTTCGCTACGAGGTTCAATAAACAAAGTAGTATTTTGGAGAAAGTCGTAATAGAGCAACGGTAAGCCTCTCTTTCTCGTAATTAATTCATTATTTAAAAAATCTAGCCTGGAGCCTTATGAGCTTTTTCTCACTTCACTTTGTATAAATATTTCCAATGGAGGTAGGTTTTTATATACATAGATAGCCTTAGCTGCACAGCGAACGAGTTTTAAATTATAGAGTACAATCATACGAAAATAACTAATGTTTATAACATGGTTATTTGTTTTTCTTTTCTGGAGTCCCTTTTGCACTTAAACTTTCGTCTGTTTTGTCCGAGCTGTTCTAACGGTTTATCTGGAAGATCTTTGTTCTTTAATAACGCACAGAATTATTTTTCCCTACATTGCCCATGAATGGCTTTAGTAGGTACATAGATAGCCTTTTCCTATTGCAGGGCAGGTGCATAGAATATGCTGTGTTGGCTCTGGCTCCTTTTGACATAGCCGACAATGGTCATCTGTTAATAGTACCATTTTTAAGTGGTATTTTAATGGAACATAAGGATTACCAATCGGTTGATTTTGCGTGTAGTGTTGCTTGCCGCATTCCTTGCATGCGTTTCCTAATATTTGTGTTGTTCTCTAGTAAGCCAAGAGTCCAGTTCTTTATTAATGTGGCTCTTTTTTATGTCGTGAAAGCCATTTGTGCCAATCTGTAAGTGCTAAGGTTGTTCCAAGGTTCCTGATTTGACTAGGGTGTCTGATGCCTCGTTGCCTAAAATTCCTTAATGACCTGGAACATACCTTAGCGTTAGGCTGTTTATAGATCCCAGTTATATGGTATTTAGTTGGTGCCAGACTATTTTTGAGTTGATCTAGAAGCTTGAAGAGCTTTTAGAACATCACGTGCGTGGTAGAGAAAGATGTAGGGCTCAGGGCCATGTGGTGCTCGTAGGTAGGGCTCCTTTATGCTCATTTTCGAACAATTTCCCCTCTTTGAGCCATGTGTACACAATAGAAGAGCTCCAGGTTTTTCTTTTTTTGTTTTTCCTTTCCATTGTACTCCCATATTAAATGCAGTTTGTTAAATGTTTCATTGCTTTTGTGGCTGTGAGTTTAGAGCTGTAAGGCTTGCTATTCTTCGGACTTTTTTAGCAGTTTCTATGCCTTTCTTTGTTCTTTTGGCTAGCATATATAGCGAACATGTTTCTATGGCTAGCAATTCTGATCGAAAGGTAGTGGTTATGGAGACGAGGGTCATGTGATGCTCATATTTTACGCCTATTCTTGTACCATTTCCATCCTTTGAGACATCTGTATACTATAGAAGAGTTAGATTTTTATTTTTTTGATTTATACTTACTTGGTTTTTAATTAAAAGAACAAGACAAAAGGCTGTACATTAACGAAAGGAATTTAATACTGTTTTCGTTTATATAAACATCCTATATACGTATTTTCCAGAAAACAAGTGGTACGGAGAAAAGAACATCAAACAACAATCACTTCTGAATTACCCTTTGGTCTCTTATGTCTCTGCAGGGATAAATAGAAAATGTATATTAAATCTTTAATTATTTAGAAGGAGTAATATTCGCAGGACATGTTCAGCAGGGTCTGAAAATTGTTCAACCCTAGGTATACTCGAGTATAGGGGATGCATCATCCCCTAAACGCAAATATGGAAAATGGCTATTGGACTTTTATCCAAAGTTTGGAAAAAAATATAATTCCTTCAACGTTCTTTCAATTTATTCTAGATGGGAAATTAATATGTATACTTATGATAAAAAATGTATAAGTAATAAATATTATTATTTGGTTACTTTCTTACTTCATATACGCTAAGATTCTCAGAGATTATTGACAAAATTACACTTGTTCTTACAATGCTCTTAATTCTAAATTAACAAAATTGCTTGTCTAACATTGAGTATGTAGAAGTTGCAGGCCAACTTAGAGAAAAATATAACGTGTGTGAATTATACGCTAGTTGTTTTATATTTTTATGTCGCAAAGATTTTGTTTCGAATTCTTCCTGTAAATACAGTTTCTGCTGTGTTCCACTTAAAACTTTTTTTGATCACTGCATGATTTTGAGGTCATCAGCAAAGAGTCTGTGAATTCAGGAACATATTTTGTGTGATAAATCATGAAGATAGAAAAGAAAGGGGCTTAGAAAGGAGCCCTGAGGACCCCCCCCCCTTATTACTGGCAACTACGAAATCTCATTTTGTTTTACCATTAACCCCAGGTTCCATTTTAAAACTAATTTAGCACTGAGCTTGAGAAACCAAGCCTGTTGAAGAATGGTGACATGGTCGACTGTATCGAAGGCCTTGCTAAAAAAGATTAGTAACAGCATACGAAAGTCATCAGCTGAATCAATTCTCTTTTAGTGCTAAAATGTGTGCTGAAGCCTGTTGGTTAATGTTGTGGTGGCCAAAAACCCCGGTCGCTAAACTGGTGCCCACGACGTGATGATGTCCCTGTGACCATTTTTAGTGACTGGGAGGAACGTGCTGCACAGAACACGCCACTCTTCATCATTGGCCTGCCGCTTGGAGAGGCTCAACCATTGGGGGAACTAGGAGATACCTTCCACGCTGCAGGCAGTTAGCTTGCATCACCTCGATATATAATCACGGGCACAATCTTATTTGTATTATGCTTATTTCAGACCCCCCTGACGAGGTCTCAACTCCCACTAATTGATCCTTTAATCCGAGAGGACAGCAGGATTTCCAGTTGTATTAATTGGCTTAGAGATAACAAGTTTCTTAGGTTAAACTTATGTTATGTTTTTCAATAGCGGTTTTAAGTCGTTACGTTACTAGTTTTGTGTCTCAAAACCTTCGTTGAACAAAATGCGGGTCGTTGCTAGACAGTTAGTTTCGTTCCTCTCTAGAAAACACGGTCAAAAATTGTACCTTTTATTTATAAAACATATACACAGATTCAATACGGTCATTTTCCTAGAGGAATCCTGGAATATTTTTACTGCAGAGCAGAAACAAGGCCTTTAAACTGAGTCGTATCGCAGTATGAAAGATCATTCCCCCCCTTCTTCCCTAGCATTTGTTACGTGAACCCTATGGTAGTATGATTAGTCTGCTTATCTATGCAAAAACAGATTTCGTTTTAAGTACATTTATTTTCTCTAGGCTACTGACTCAATTTTCACGGGTTAAATAAGCTAAGGTAATACTGAAAGAACACCATGACTTATTTTGTTTTGTCTTATATTTACAAATTATTTAATAGATTTAAACAAAAAATACAACAATAAAACTTTATTTTTATTTACACAGTATAGAGTTTACAAAGTTTACCTTGAAAATCATCATTTTTTCACGTTATGGTTTTTTATTTATTTTTTTTAAGGATCTTATTTTATATTACGTCAAAAAATAGTAGAAAATTTAACAATTACAAACCCAAGAATAAAATTAAACAGTGTTCAGTAGATTGATCGTCACTGTTTATCCTGGTGCGGCCATTTTCTGCCTGGACCCCGGCCATTCTCTTAGTCAGGACCTGCGAAAAGGATGAGCGCGGTACCCACTGCGATGTCGCAATTCGTCATGCTAAAGAAAACAAAAAAAGCAGCCAGAATAGGCAGACCAGGTTGATTAGGGACGATAAATCTACTGGGTAATATTCAACAGACCCTACAAAACATCCAAATTACGGGGCGTAAACCTAAGGTAAACAATTTCTTCTCAGGGAAATAATAACAAATTAACAATTTATATATTTGTGCGATAAATACACAAGTTGATCAAATACATTTCTGTTGTTCTTACAGAAAAACACGATGCCATTGACTGCAGAACAATATTTGACTGCTCTTGAAATAACGAAACAGGTATTAAAAGCACATTTTCCATTGTTTTGTTTTGTTTTCCCTTTCTTCTTTCCTTCGCCGCTTGTAATACCGAATAAATTATTGTTATTAAACTTAAATGACTATTCCAATTTTTTATGTAGCTTGTTTAAAAGATCAACACACTCACTGTGTAGAAGCCTGTTTTGGCAATTAGTTGTTATTAACCTGCCCTACAAATCAACAAAATATTTAATGCGATAAAACTGTCTAAATATATAAAACAAGAGGAAAAGGGAAAATTTAACAGACTAACTTTTCTACTCTTCTTCCTAATCCTTTTCGGTTGATTGTCTTTTCTTTGGTAATAGATTAGTACAGATAAATAGTTCATGGCTTCAACAAATTCATTTATTGATGCCGATGCATTTCGGGACAAATCTGGCTCCCCTCTTCTAAGCTCGTTGGATTAAAAACAAACTAAAAAAAAATAAAAAAATTATAAAGATATTTCACAGTGCAGTAAGCAAGAAGAAAGCATATGCCATGCTTTGAGCTCAGTAATTCTCTTGCTTCTCAAGATGTACAATAAAAAGGATATAGTCGCCTAAACATAATGTGTATACGTGGTGAGAATGTACCCAAACCAATATTGCATACCTTATGAGACTTTCAAATAAGACATGTTAAGATATAATTAAAATATTAAGAGATGCATCATTTACTAAATTTCTAAACTTAAACAAACAACTATTTAACTTTTTACATATGTACAAACAATGATTTTCTCAGCTCATGCGAGGTTCTATTAAAACTCCCAGCAGTTTTACATTTTCTGGGTTATCACATACTACAGACAGGTCCTTCAGACCACACACCGTGTCTGTGATTTTTCTTTATTTAAGCACAGTTCATTTGATGAAAACCAATTTTCACAATCATATTGCAATTTGTAATTTTAACTTAAGAACACACTGTATCATCTTTTTTACAGCCTTTTGTTAAAACAACTGCAAAAGCCAAAATGTGCACATATTCAAAATTTCTATACAAGTCATTTGTAAAAATTATGTACAAAATTGAACTGAACCGTATGGCAGTCTGATTTCTACTTTCTGGAATTCTGACATTTTAACCCTACGTTTCACAGATTCATTTCCTTTCATTTAAATAGGTACTTATAATTTTTATGGCATTCTCACCAAATTTTTATTTTTATTTATTTTCAATTTTTGTAATTTAATTTTTTTTTACCTAATCAAATGCTTTGCCTAGGTCTAACATAGGAAACATGGAAAATTTATTCTCTTCAAAATTTTCAAACACAAATTCCTTCTGTTATACTTAATTGCATTTTATATCCAAATTATTATAAAAATATTAAATGTTTTTAAAAAGGGTTAACAATTTATTTTTTTAACCACATTTTCTGTAACTTTTGAAGAAAAAAAACGGGTAATATGGAGATGGGTCTGTAGTTAGAGAGACAATTTATGTCACTTCCTTTATTAAATAATATTTTGTAATGTTATTAGATAACGAATAGATATTAAACAGTTTATTTTAGTTGCAATTGTCATTAAGGATCTTTTGCTCTGCCTATCCTCGCTGAGTCTGTCCATCAAACGTGTACGACATTTCGCCATCATCAAAGGTTGAATATCAATAAATCCTTTAGTTCCAACTGTTAGTAGCTTATTCAGAAAGCTTTTCACTTACATTGCAAGCATCTTCAGCCCTTATCCTAATCTTATATTTTACATCTAATGAATTGAATGAAATAATTACATTTAATGAAAAGAAAATATTTTTTTAAATTTTTTATTGATTTTTACATCTGCATTCTTTGATGCTATAAGCAAAATATTACAAGTCATTAGCATGTACACAGGAGCGGCAATCATCCCATGATGAAAGCCATTTGTATGTCAAAATGATCTTGGTTCATCCTATGAAGACGAAAAAAGGTTGTCACGAGGCCACTGACGCTTCAGTCTCCTGATGTATGCGGGGATTATTTGGTAAGGTAGTAGATGACAGATTTTTGACAAGGGGATTAGGATGATAAGGTAGTTTATAATAGAACTTTTTGTAACAGTATTGGGCCAGATGAGAGCAAGTGGAACATTTAGGTCGGTATGGATGGTGTGGTTGGAAACATAGAAGGGAGTATTGACAATTGTTTTGAGAATTTGGGATTGAAGGATTGGATACAATTGAGGTTAGAACACTTTGCAGATCCATAGAGTTCGAGTCTGTATGCCCAAATAGGGGCCAGCAGGGCGATGTATAGTATATTTTGTTTGTCTCAAGTTGTCAAGTTTTGATCATCTGTCAAATAGTCGTTTTAGCATGGTAAATTGTAATTTACATTCAGTTTTTTTGAGTCGCATATGAGGGTTTCATGTCAGTCATTTGTCCAGCTTGTCCGAGGTACTGTACATGGTTACATGGATGGGAGTATTATTGAGGTATAGTGGATTTTTTCAGAATGATGAAGGTCTTGGATGTCAGAGAGGGGAATAAAAACTGTAGAGAGGTGTTGAGCTAGGAGTTCTCCTCATTGGATTTGACCCCATTGAAGTGGACGAGATGTATTTTGATTATGAAGGATTTTTTTAGTAGCGGTCCATAGTGAATTGTTGTCAGTATTAAGTGATTCTGTATAAGTGGACTTATTGTCGGTGTAATTTCGAAGTTTGTAAGATAACTCTAGTAATATGATTGGATAATCTTTTGTCAGAGGGGTATCGAGCACTCTTGCTCGACACAAAGGGTAATTAGTTGTCTTAGTCAGAGGGGTAAACATTAAGATAAAGATGTAGTATTTCTTGGTATGTCGGGTAGTGTAGAGTGCCAGATTCTTTGCTGTATGGAGTAAGTCAAGTGATGTACTTTATCGTCCAGTTGCTGAGATGTTTTCAAAGAAACGTTTAAGTCTAGGTTTTGTTCAAGTGTTTGCCAAAAGTTCCAGTCAACTGTTTCTTAATTAGTGTTGGTCGAGGTAGGATTAGTTTTGGACGGATGTGAGGACAATGGAGCTATGGTCTGAGGAGAGGTTGTCTAAGGTGTAGGTGTCAGAGTAGAGAGATGAGATGTTGGAGCAAACAAAGAAGCCCAGCAAGTCTGGTCTTTTTTGTGTGGATGTTGGCCAGTAGGTAGGGTGGGACAGTGCTAGGAAGGAGAAACTAGTTTGTGAAATGACATTGCGAAGGAGCCAGCCTCTCAGGTTCGCAACACAGCTGCCCCAATACAAGTTTGGGTCAAGATGTCACCACAGATGAACTGATTTCCAAGGATGGAAAAGAGGGACAGAAAATGGCTTTCTCTTATGATGTGATTAGGGGGACAGTACACGGATGCGATGGTGTAGGAAAATCAGCTCTGTCATTAGAGAGATTTCATTAACCTGGAGAAAGAGAGTTGCAGTAAATGGTATTTGGAAGTGGGGTAAGGAATTGCGAACCAATAGGGCTATTTCCCGTGGGCAGCCCCAGTGGGGTGGTTTGTCGCATACATTATGTACCCTGGTATGTAGAATCGCAATCTGTCAGTGAAGTGGATTTTGGGAATAAAGATGATGTCAATTTATTTTTCGTGGAGGAGTATCTCAAGTCCCTGTCTTAAGTTAGTCTGTCCATTCACGTTCCAGAGGAGGATAAGAAGGGAGTGTTGGGTTAGGACCAGTAAGGGGCATGTTTGGAGAGGAGACTGTTTACAACTGTGGTTAGGAGTGCTGAAAGATCCGTGATTTGAAGTTGTGGAGGAAGGAACTTAACAAAATGGTGTTATCTCCTGTAGGGTGGGTGTTCGATTGAGGTTGAGAAATAGGTGAGGGACGAGTGTAGGAAGGACGAGAGGCTGAAGGTGGCAGAGTGCCTGTGTCCGTCTGTGCAAAAAAGACATTTTTGTTGAGATGAGCAGATTTGGTGATGGGCCTTAAAAGAGAGAAGTCCTGAGGTTGGCTGGCTGGTTGTAGAATTTTCTGCAGAGCTAATGGATCAAGTGACCAGAGGTACGTTGTTTCTTGCAGGCTTGTGTCATGTGCTCACCAGCACATTTTACGTACTTACAGACGTACACAGCTGCTGGCAATAGGCAATATTATTGGCAACGTTTGCATTGTACTAATGTACATTGTTTGTGGGGCTCTTCGACTTTTACCCTTGAGTAGCAAAGAGTAATTATGCTGAAAATGTCTTTATTGTTTGGATTTGTATCTACTTTCAAAAAGAATACCAGTCGAGTCTGTTTAGTGGCTGAGTGTTGTACAAGTGCAACATTGCACACACTAGCCACACACTGCCTCTGTTCGGTTTGATCCTCCCTGATTAATTCGGGTGGGATGCTCTGATTAAGTTCCAAATTACTACTCTGTGTTCTTTTTCCTATTGGAGCTGTAACGTGTGGTAATCTGCATTATGTTCTTTGAGGTATCGAAAATAATGTAAACCTTTTTTTTGTTATTATATACAGGCTGACAAAAAACAGAGTACATCCTCAAGTTAACTGCTGATTTATTTTATTTTCGACCTTTGATAATGGAGTTCCACCATAAAAGTACAACAAACCTCGAAAAAAGTGTAATTTTGTATCATCAGTGTCTAATAACCCAGTCCCACCACTGAATATGGTGAAATGCCTAAATGCGTCTGACAGACTGATCCAGCAAGGATACTGTTTAAAGTGTTATATGTATCAGCCACTGTTTTACTCAGAAATAATCTGTATCTTGGTATAGTGTGAATTAAAAAACAAATTCAATTGTTATCGGCCAAGTTTTTGTTATTTTAAAGTCATCAGGGCAAAACAATCTTAAAGATGTCTTCAAATTGACATAATTAGTTTTATAACAAAGGGTTTCAATTTTCTTTGAAGATAGACTCAGTCCCAACATTGCCAAGGACTGATAACGAATGATGAGTTTTTGTTTTGTTATTTTGCAGATGAAGTTTAACACTTTTCTTCAGTGTAAAATGTGCAACGAGCTACTATTCACTGTGTCTGATTTTATTGAACACAAAACAAAATTCTGTGAAGACACTGTGGTCGATGTAGATGATACTGGATACATTAAACCAGTAAATATCTATTTGATACAAACATATTTTAACTGACTCTTTCTGATAAAATTAAATTTTACTATGTATGATAAAGGAACCAAAAATTATTAATTATTAGCAATTATTCTAGTCAAATAAACATGTTATTTGAAAATTCAGATAAATTATTTGTTGTGTGTAAAAGTTATTGGGGCATACCTATAACAGTTTCTACAAATGCCTAACTGTTTGAAAGTTGGATTGCATAGATATCAGTTAGAAATAAGGTTCCAGTACTCCTACACCTACTCCCTGTTTGATATTTGTCATTGTACCATATTAGGGCTTCTTCCTAAATATTGGGTTGCCTTTCTTCCAAAGATTTCTGTTGTCTATGACCACTTGGAAGGGCCTGTCAAAGTTGAGTTTTTCTCCCATTTTTTTCATGTACCGTTATACCCTCTCGAATAACCTCAATATTAAATGACTAAGCATGATTTTTCATTTGCTAAACATTCTTCAGCAAATATATATTACTATTTATTCAAACTTAAGTTCATATATTTTATTGATTTATTATAATGGCTCCACGTCTACCAAATAAGCAAAGCTAGTCTTTGTGTTGCTAGTACGGTTGGAATTTAAACAAGCAGGGTCTATTACAAACCGAGAGGCTGACAGCCTGTCCACTCCACCAATGCTGCCCCGATGAACTTGAAGAGATGAAATTGGAAATATTGATAGCCATACTAGATGATTTAATCCAATTTTTCCTCTATCTATTGTCCTGGTCTATTGTTTCAAATAGATATGTACTTTTTGATTTTTCACTATCGACAGTAGATACTTCTGTTGCACATTTTTCTTTGTAAGTGCTGGTAAAAGTGAATGAGATTCTTTGTGATAATACATTTAAAAAACTACCTAATCTAACCTAACCATAACCAACCCTAATCCTATCATTCCTAACTCAATCCAAGCTCTTAACTTCAGGGCGTCATCAGTCATATATAAAATAAATACAAAATACTTTAAAAACATGTTAGTCAGACTAGCATTCACACTACCTCATAATACTCCAAATTCCTTGCAGTAATAGGGAAAGAAGCCCATCCATTCATACTAATAAATTACTAAATCCATTATGTTTTAGTGGTGTAATGGAGTCAAATCCGACTCGTGACACTAACTTTTTCATCCCAACCGAGACCTTACATAAAAAGAATAATTAATTGAAATTAATAAATGGCATTCACACACCAGACTTCATTTAAACTGCCTCAGAGAACTTTTATATATTGTCCAGCTCCATTGTTTCAAGTAAGATATGTACTTTTTGGGATGAGGTCATTGTAATAATACATTAAAAAACCTACCTAATTTAACCTAACCTAGGTCCTTCTAGGATTGTAGAATCCTAATTCTACAATTTCTAACCCAACCCTATCTCCATTTCAGGGCCTCATCAGTCATAGATAAAAAAAATACAAAATACTTTAAAAACATGGTACTTTTGTAAGTATTCCTACTGCCCCATAGTACTCAATATTTCTCAAAGTACTAGGGAAAAACACCCATCCATTCTCGCTAATAGATTACATACACAAACCAGACTTGTCCAGGTCCATTGTTTCAAATAAGAGGTGTACTTTCTGGCTTGCTGACTATCGGATATTTTTGTTTCATAACTTTCTTTGTAGGCACTTCTAAAATTAAATGATATCCTGTAATAATACATATTAAATATAGTTAAACGGCTACAGTTAGTATTCTTGTATAATTAGCAAAAGAGTGCGTCATTAGACTAAATTCATTTTAACATGTTCGTTTCTGTTCAGTAATTTCTTTCTCTGTGTTTGTGTTTATTGCGTAATTTTCGTGCTAAAATGTTAATACTGGTTAATCCAGTTTTATTTGTAAAGAGAGGCCCTTCTAATTTAGCCACACCCTAAATCATCTTTAAAAAAAAAAATAAAGATTTTGCCTAGAAAACAACTACAAATAGATAGGGTTCAGTTTTCTGATTTTGGTTCTTTTATATACATACTGTCCTGGCATGTTATTTGGCTGATTGAAACAAAAGCAATTTTACGACAGCGTATTGATTAAATTTGTAGAATAGTGGTTTAAATGAAAAAATATCCACTTTGGTTGTGACCAATAGTACTAAAAATTCTTTTAACGAAAAGAAAAGTGATAAATCAAAAAATGAAGGTGTTAGCACTGAAAGCAATAAAAATGTAAATAGAAGAAAAACAGATGTCGATGCCAAGACGTCCCCACGTGTCGATGAAAAACAAACAAACAAAATTTTATTTGAAAAGGTTTGATTTAACTCTTCAATTTTTTACATTTGTTACACTATAAAATGGAAATCAAAAGTTTGTTAAATTTCTTTTTATAGCAAGATGAAGATGTTATTCCTTCAGCAAAGGAAAACCTCAAAATTACGAAATGTGAATGTAATGCAACTTCAGCAAAATGTAATTGTGAAATTCCTAGCAATGATGACAAACCAGTTTCTATGGTTAGTGATTAATATTGAAAACATTGTGTTTGTGTAATATATTGCTAATACAAAATGTTCTAGGCAAAGACAGTGATCGTTGACAACAACCAGGGCATATATGATGAGTTTGATTGGGTTAGTAGTTTTATCCTGTCTCGTGTACCTCACAATTGAACTTTTTTTAATGATTCCAGAATAACTGTGATTACTTTGACGGCACTACGTGTTATGTCAGTGAACCATTAGATGATGAATTTGTCAAGGTAAACTTTATTTTCACTTTGAATTTGTACACTTTGATGTTTATGATTAAACTGGCCATATTGCAAGCATATTTCATTTTTTATATAAACTCTTTTCAGAGTGCAATACTCTGACTAGAGTAGACAATTGTTTAATATTTTTTATTATTATTATTCTATACTTGAGTTTTATTTTGTTGCAGATAGAAAAACTTAACTGAAAATATGTAATATAAAAAACTGGACATATTGGAAAGCGATCGCTTCACCGCTTCCAGGCTAATATTTTTTTAGAAATAAATTTCTGTTCTATCTGTTTTTACTAGTTAATTTTCAATATATTACATATTATTTGCACCATTTTGTTATTGTCACAGAGGAAATGTGATATAAAAAATGGTCCATAATACTTTAAAATTACATGTTTAACCCTCCCAATACCAGATGAAAAATTTGACACAAAGTGCTGTCCCTCAAGTTCCCCCTCTCTTTATTCCTCAATTTTTGATAATAAGTTTAATAAATGAATGCCTTGAATAAAGGAAAGCAAGTTAAATTCTAAGATATTTTAAAACTTCATGCATTAAAAAACTTCACATTTGAAATCCTAAAAAAATATAAGAAAAATATTTTTTAATTACACTCTTCATATGGGGGTGCTTCGTTGTACTTTGCAGATGAATTTCTTGCTCCTATGGCACTTGCTTATACTTCGGCATCAATGTTCCTGGGGCGGAAGTTACACCTCAATCTCTTCCTCCTTTGCTGATTGGCTGGAGGTAGTTGTCATTAATATGTTAGTTGCTCACATGAGACGAGACATCTTCCCTTTGTTCTTCTTTCACTCGTTTTTCCATTTGTTCCTCTGCATTGTTCTGAACAGTTTGTACATAATGCTCCATTGACTGCCATAGTTCCATTGGACGCCTGTTTCCATTGCTAGGATTACTCAGTTGTTTCTGGATCATGGGCACATACAGTATTTTGTCGATTTCCAGTATCAAAAAGCATCATCAGTGATTGTAGCCTTTTTCCAATGTGGGTGCAGTTCATTCCAGAGGATGAATGCATGTATCACAACAAAATCAATTAATTTTTTTTTTTTAATTTTACTACTACTTCCTGGTAATGTTTACTCAGTTGAACCCGAGAAGCATCACTTCCTAAATTAGAAGTACCAGTTGTGGTCCCAGAGAGAACCAAGCATGTTATTTAAACAACAAAACATTGTAATAAATTTATTGTTAAGTTGTAATTATATATATATTCTGCTGCAAGCAATACAGACGGCTGGAGGATAATTGTCCTCCAGTTTGGTGAGGAAAAATTGTTTTTTTAAATAATTTTACATTTGAAAAACAACAGCATGGTGTTAGTGACAGACCCCACCTGGTATTCGGAGGGTTAAGAAACATATTTTAAGGAATGTTTATGTTTAATGTACGATCTGGTTGATATATTTGTAGACTTTATTTGTTTCTTGAACCCAAATAAAATACTTATTTTTTAAGTAATTGATTTTTAATTGTACACCATTGCATGATAATTCATTTGTAATAAACCATAATTCAACTGTATTACAGTATCAAATAAAATAAAGTAGAAAAATTTGCACCAGTTAAAAACAATTTGAGATGTTTTAAGACTATGAAATGCAGAAAATTTATACATATGTATTTAATAGCTAATTGAAAGCTGCTAAACCAAAACCTCAAAACAAATTTTATGGGGGCAGCAAAAACTTAATCCAATACTAAAGAAACAACTTTTGTTGTATACTTATATTTAAAAATTGAAACTTCACGGACAAATGAACAAAACTGATAGGTTTCTGGGTTAGAAAAAATATTGGCAATGCACAAAAAATTCGCAGTTAGATCTAAGCCATTCCCTTATTCTGTAAAAGACATTTGAATCTACTTCTATAAGTTGATCAAAATTGTTTCTACTAGTAAAAACAACCATAAAAAGCAATGTTCCAAGAATCGATCCCTGAGGGAAGACCACATTTTACTTCAACCAACTCACAGTTCATCAGTCTTCACAATTTAAGAGGTAATTAATTTCATTAATTTGCCCCAAATTCCATATTTTTTATCTATTTATTTTTATTTTTTATTATTATTATTAACAAGACATGACAAATAGCATGTGCCTTCGGAATATCCAAAACAAAGTCACAGTTTCTACAAATATGCCTCGAAACACCAAAAAAGTGCATTTTTGGGATTTATCTCTTTGGATGCCATCTTATCTATCCAATATTTAATTATATTTTTTGAACAAAAAAAAGCTATAGAGCAATTGTAAACACATTATTTTCAAGAAGTTTCGATAATGTGAAATGGGCCTGTAATAGCTATTAAATGCAAGGGTAATGTACTTTCTTTGGTAGGGAAATAAAGAACCCCACCATATAGTGTAGGGTACATATAAAGGACGTAGATCAGCAAAACTCCAGCAAATTCTCAACAAAAATCAAATTCATTAATTTTGAAACATGAAGGACCAAATATAATTCTGGTTGAATCAGTTTATTTACATTGCATAAATTAAAACATTAATAAAAATTATAAGTATAAAGTACAGTGTAAATTAATTTTTTGCCTGATAATTTCCACGACTTCTGCGTGACTAACACTCCTAGTGCAAGCTCTAACATCATTTTTCTCAAAACCTAGGAGACCGATTTTCATGGTTGATAATTCTTTTAAAGAAATTGTTAAGTGCATTTTACAACTGAATCAAACACTAAAATCAGACTATTATTTCCATTTAAAAACTAAGTTAATTTTTGACAAATAATTTTCCTATTTTAAGAATTGTCTTATAGAAATCTTTTATACATTTTTATGATAAATGTATAAAATGTCATAAATGATGTTAAAAAGCTACATTCCTCTTCTATCAAATGGATGCTTGGCGTTAAGCTCCTTTTAGCCGTTTTTGAATTATAGCACTTTCAATCAGAAATTCCGATGACTTTTAAAAATTGGAAAAATTTTAGGGATCAAAAAATTGATACTTGGGTGTCAATGAGGAGCTAAAAGAAATACATTAGTTTTAAGAAAAAAATTATGGCCTACTTTACTTGAAGAAAATTTGGTTATTGATAAACTTTGATAGCTTTTATACTATATTTTTAGTGTAATCTACATAAAAAATGCTGTAAAATGATTTGAAGAAGTAGAATGGCAAAATAAAAAACGGAAAATTTCCTTACAAATATTTTTTTGGCGAAACCAGGGCCTATTTACAAGAAGTGGCGGATACATGTCCGATATTTTGGAGTGTGAAATCACCAAAAAAATTTTGGTCCAAATCGGTGACACACCAACCTGGGCGACTTTGCGCTGGCTGTATCCTTCTTGTAACAATGTTATGAACCTGACACTGTCATACTCAAATTCCTGACTGGACCCCTTGAAAAAGGTGTAGGAATATTAATAATATCAAATGAAATCTACGAAATAAAAAGATTAACTGAAAGCGATCTTTAGGCGTAGCAGATGGAATAGCATAATGCTACTATTTGTGCGAATGGGATAAATTGGCACAAAAGTAAATAAAGCATTATTTCCTGTTTATTTTGACAATGATAGCTCCCAACTGCCTTTAACTAATGTGGAAAGATAATGGATGTAATTTTAAACTAAATAAAATGAGTTGCTTTAAATTTTGTATGTGTGAGTGTTTGCGTGTGCGTATGTGATAGAATAGAAAGTCTGTCAAAATTTATTATTCTATTTTTGAAGGAGATTTTTCCTTAAAGTGTTTTAGTAGAGTTTGATAAATTTTCAGTTGGATATAATATATATTTTATTTATAAAAAAAATTTATCTACCCTTCAAGCCATACCTCTTTGCTACAACTATAAAAAGATTATTTGGAGGTAGTGAGTTGCAATCTAGTGTGACATAGTTTTTAGAAAAACATTTTCTTTATTGTACCAACGTTTCGATCTTTATTGAGTTCTTCTTCAGGGCCTGGTATTTATAAACATTGTTTAAATTTTACAAATACATGTAGGATGTGAAAAAAAAATGAATTTATACAATGCTAGAAAATTTTATATTAACAAAAAAGAATGAATTTATACAATGCTAGAACATTTTAGATTAAAAAAATGAATTTATATAATGCTAGAAAATTTTAGATTCAATGATTGAAATTTTAGACTCACTCGAAGTATTTACACTCAGTCAGTGTTTGTTTTCTGTGTAAATGTGTCATTCTTGTCTGTCGTGTTGAGTACCAGTGAGATATTGATGTTTTATGTTTATATACGTCTCAACATGACAGACAAGAATGACACATCCACACAGGAAACAAACACTGAGTGAGTACAAATACTTTGATTGAATCAAATTGAAATTTTTGTAAAATTTAATCAACGTTTATAAATCCCAGGCCCTGAAGATGATGTCAATAAAGATCGAACGTTGGCATGGTAAAGAATGTTTTTCTAAAACCTACGTCACATCAGACCGCATCTCACGACCTCTAAATAATCATCAAGTAACGATCACTAAACACCACACGTATAATAATAATGCTTTATTAATACAAAATGTTTACAAAACAAAAATATATGCCATAACATAAAATAACGGCATGGATAAAAACCGTCTGCCGGAGGTTGAAGCCATAACCATCAAACATACAAAAATAAAATAATAATAATACAATAATAGTAATTTAAAAAGGAAAAGGACTATTGATCATAATTGAATTCCATAATTAGATCATGACGATACAACCAAGCCTGTCATGCAAATCTGATCAATTGCAAACTGTTCATGTCATTAAGGAATTCATTTATCTGGGTTCTGTACGGGGATATCTAAATTCTGAGAGGATGGGACATACACCCAAGAAATGGATCACATCCTCCTTTCTCTGAGGTTACAAAGAGCACAGAGGGATCTCGCTTTCTCACCACGGAGTATAGTTAAGAAAGACCAACTCCCCTCTTAATTTAAACAACCAGGTCAGTTCCGTGGGTGAAAGTTCTGTATTTCTTGAATTAAGGTAGGGTGGTACTGCAGATCTTTATATAAAAGAAAACGGTAGGACTGTTCAGCCGACCGCACACACTCTTCCCAGTAACATTCATCCATCCTTTGACGTATGACCATCAACTAGGCACACCATTTATCCCGATCCTGGAAGTTAGAATCAAAAGGGCATAAGTATTTTTCCGCCAAATTAACCAAGTGCTCGATAACCTCAGACTAGAGAACGAGACAGGCAGTGAGCAGGCAGATTCTAAGTCTTGATGCAGTATCTAACATGGAGACCGAACGTGAAAACATGAACCAGGGAGGTTGAAGTCTCAATAGAAACCATGTAATTTGGTATTATGAGGGGAACCAAACAACTTCTTTGATAAAGAAATGTTGAAATTTTTCCACCAATTCCTGTCATTAAAACCCCGAAACACTGGGCACCATAGCACACAATTGAACGGCAAACCGCTTTGAATAAGGCGAGGCAACATTTTCCCCCATGGGAGGGACATTTCCCAAATTTAGCCTATGATATCCTCTCCGTAAAATGCCGAGTCATGAGTTAAAAGTTCGGAACACCAAAGGCCGTTTTTAAAAAAAGATTTATTTGCTTTAAAACATATAGAGAAGATTACAGAACAGAAAAGGCGAGGGATTCGTCAGAAGGATGTCGTACGCACGAAGATAGGGGAGAAATACGCGCTGTGTAAGATAAACGCCGGGTTTATACTTTATATGAAGTCGTAGTGCAGAGTCAGCTGGGGCAATCATCAACTCTTAACTATGCGCAGACCTTTATATTTGTAATGGTTAACGACTTCAAAAGGCCTTTATATTTACATTTCTCATTAGCAGCAAGAGACCTCATTTTCTGAACACTATGATCTTACACTTATTTAAAATGACTGTGAGGTGGATGGATTTGATTTTAAACTAAATAAAATGAGAGTTGCCTTAAATTTTGTATGTTGAGTGTTTGCGTGTGCGTATGTGATAGGTATAGAATAGAAAATAGTCTATGGATGTACAAGCATATTTACGTTATAAAATTTAGAGAGATGTAAATTAGTGTAGTAACATAAAAATAGAATATAAATTTTATACAAATGGCAATCAATTTTAAACGAATTTAATGGAGATCGTCATTGAATAGTGCTAAATAACTAAAGAACTAATGATTTGAGACCAAATTTTGTAATAAAGACGTGTCAAAATTTATTATTCTATTTTTGAAGGATATTTTCCCTTAAGGCATTTTAGTAGAGTTTGATCAATTTTCAGTTGGATATAATATAGATTTTATTTATTAAAAAAAATATTTATCTACCCTTCGAGCCGTACCCCTGTGCTACAACTATATGCTGCCTTGATCGTCTCTTTGCGGTCATGGAGTAAACCCAGGATCGTAATATTATTAGTGTTTGTTGTTTTGCATTTTATCTTCAATTAAAGCGTTAAAAATTTTACCA